ACACACTACAACCTGGAGGATCCCCAACAACATATGCTAAGTGAGAGAGGCCAGAAATCTCCAGAAAAGGCAAAGCTGCAGAGAAAGGAAACAGATAAGTGATTCCTGAGGTGGAGGCAGAAACAAGAACTGATTGCGGACAGATATCATTTTGGGGTGATAGAAATGTTGCTAAACTAGACTGAGGTAGTTACTCTTCATCTTGATCAATTTGCTAAATGAACACTGATCGCGTCCTCATATGGAGCGATTTCTAGGGTCTGTAAATCACACCTCAGTGAGGCTGTTAGAAAAAGACACCTTGGCCGGTTTCTGGGCTCCTGCAGCAGCAAGCAGCTAAGGCTTTCAGAGTGCTCATGTGGGCCAGCTTCAGTTCTTAGCCTCATCGTGTAGTAATCTATTGATTCCTCCACCAACTCCATGAGGCAAAAGCATTATCCCTATTTCACAAAAGAGGAAAGAGCACAAAGAGGGTAGATAACCTGCCCAAGGTGAAAGTCAGTGGCAGCAGAGCAGATGTGAAGATTCTCGGGTCCAGAACTCTATTGCCACCCATCCAGGCTCCAGGAGCAGATCGATAGCAACCTCAGCTATTTCAAGAGTAAAGGCTTCTCAAGCCAGTGCCCATCTTCTCCCCCTGCCAATTCCTTTTCCTCTTTTTGTTCGGCAGCCTCTGTCACCTCCACCATCTCCCTGCCCTGGGACGACCCAGACTCACTAAGAGACTTCCCTTGTACCTAGAACATACCCCAGTAAGTTCCACCTGGACTCAGAGGAGCAAGACATTCTAGGAGCTTAATCAGTTTCCACCGCTGTTTTTGGACTTGACTCTTCGTCCCTCCATATCTCCAGCATGCTTTTCACATGAATTCCAAGGCTCTTTACAAACCACGAGTGTGACTGACCATCCTGTACATTCACAGTCTTTATACGGAGTGGAAAACAGGGTTGAAGAGAGTGTATGTGGGGCTTTCAGAAACCCATGAGAACACTGCCTTTCTTTGCTATGTTATCTAGCTGGAGGCAAATACAAAACTTCCCTAAGAAATGCACAAGGAAAACCTTAACAAGCCTGGACACACTCAGGGAATGATTGCCCTTGATCTTCAATTACAAGGGACTTCCCCCTTGGCACTCACTACCCCTTTGCTGGAGATAGCCTTTTAAAGTGCTCATCTCAAAGAGCATGCAACCCAATCAACATTTGTAGTATTAGCAACGTGTCTAGGGTGGGTGCATGGAGGGAGAAGAGCAAGCACTCCTCCTAGAGCCAGGCTTCTTTCCCTCTGGGTGCCTGCACACGGGGCTGGCTGGATCTGAGGAAGGTTTCCTGCCAGTGGCTGTTCAACTGTGCACTAAAGCCTGGGGTGCTCTCGATTGCTGTCAATTGGCTTCCTCTGGTGCCTGCCACCTTGGGTAAGCATGATGGACGACCTTGAAAGTGTTCTGGGATAAAAGCCCCTGTGTTCCCCTTGCAGATCACAGGGAGGACTCTGAGGCTGAGATCAGCCTAACAAGCACTGTAGCTCCCCCGATTCACACACAGGAAGCTCCTGCTTATGGCTGCAGCCTTTTCCACCTACACCAGAGGCACATTCTCTCCATCCTCGCTGCTCTTTGAAGATACTCTGCTGGCTGTAAAAATGACCAATGCCCCAAGCTGTACAAAACTGGGACCTGGAGCTCACAGTGAGAGGCTGCAGACTCAGTCTGTGGGCCAATGGGGTCTGGTCTGGCATCGGGGGAATATTCTGGGTCTGATAGAATTCCTGGCATAAACTCAAACTAGTCTCCTTTATTGCCCATTTAGCAGCACTGGGAGAATGTTTTACAAGAAATTCCCTAAATACAAGATTCCTAGAAAGATTTTTCTGAGCTCCTGGTAGCACCATTGCTGCTCACCCTGTGGTAAATCTTTTCTTTAGCTTATCCCAGAATCAAATCTGGACCCTCCAGATGAACCTTGGTCTTTTCACACTGTTCCTCCTCCAGCCTTGTCTCCCATGCCACCCTGCTCTTCAGCACACATACCTATGCATCCTAAAATTCACTGTCATTTCCTTTTTTTTTTTTTTTAGGCCCTGGCATCTCAACATGGTGGGCCCTTCCCACTTTTTTTTCAGGACTTATCTCCTACAAGAAGCCTTCCATTACTCTTGCCATCTCTCCTGTTCTCCTCCCTGGGGACTGAGTTGCATGATCACAAAGCATCCTGGTTCCATCACTTGTACAGAGTTTAACCTGCGGGGGTGCACTGGCTCTATGAAACCTCACCCACCCAAGGCCTCGGATTTCTCTTCCCGAATGCCTGCACAGCGCATGGCGTGCTGTACAAACAAGTAGTCACAGAGTTGATGAGAGAGTCAATAAGGCAGGTAAAAAAAAAGAGATTATCTCTGGATTTCTGTGGCCAGAATATCCCTGTAGAAAAGTCTCTATCCAGAAATGATGGGAAGGAGCAGTTTCATTAGCATGTTTTCCAGAAGAGAATTTTAGTAGTATGTTTTAGAATATTTATAATTTTAGTACCAGGCTGGTGCTGGGCACGTGAGATTGTGAGGTGAACAAGCCAGGAGGAGCTGGTGCTAAGGAGCACTTAACAAGGTCTGTTTGGGAAATGGGACCTTCCTGCTTAAACGGAAATCTAGCATTAGACTCAATGGAGGAGCTGAGACCTCGTAAGGACTGGCTGGATTCATAAGCTGACTCAGGGAGGAAAGAAGTAAAGATCTTCAAATAAACCTGGCCAAGAGACATTTATGTCTGCTGGTGACTTTCTCCTAAGAGGAGGCAGAACCAGGAAAAAAGGAAGAGAGTTTCAGAAGCAGCCACAGAAATGGAGTCAGAGCTCAAGAGAGCCTCTGAGAGGGAGGGTATGGTAGGCACAGCTGTGTGGTGTCAAAACCCTGTGCCAAAGGTGGTCAGTGGCTCCTCTCCAAACCTTCAGGGAGGTCCACCAGGGAGAATGTGAGAAGCTGAGCTTAGGGACACCTGCTACCTCCTGAGTCCCTAGCAAATGCTTCCAGTGCAGACTTAGCCCCACATCACAATGTATTGAATCTTGATTGCTCCACCTGTGAGCCTCATGCCTGAGAATCCCGGTTCCCATTACGCAGAGAAGGGAGTTATTATTGCCACCTCCTGGGACTACTGTGAAGATTAAATGAGATGTTACCCAGTAAGTAGTTCTCCCTTATCCTCAGGGACACGTTCTGAACCCCAACTGGATGTCTGAAACTGTAGAGAGTACCAAATCCTATATATCTTTTCTCCTATGATAAAGGTTAATTTATAAATTAGGCGTAGCAAGAGATTAACTAAAATTAAAACAACAATAAGGATGCACTGTAAAAGAAGTTATGTGAATATGGTCTTAGTATTTCTGTCTCTCAAAATATCTCACTGTACTGGTATTTTCCACTTGGTATTTTTGGGTTGTGGTTGACTGTGGGTAATCAAAACCTTGGAAAGTGAAACCACAGATTGGGCGGGGGGGAGGGGGGGTGTAGGGTACTGTGACGTGTTTCATGTGTTGGCATAGCATCTGTGTATACATGGCAGTTAGTTATGATAATGCCACCATTCTGTAGTCATGTACAGACTGAATGAGATGATGAGTCCAATATTACGCTCTCCTGGAAAAGCCTGAGAAGTAATGTATGAGATATATAATTATTAATGTGTTATCACATAATTTAATATACTGTAATATAGCATAACATGTTCAATAACAATACTAGGTTACATTTATGGAGCACTATGTGCAAGGCCCTGTTCCAAACACTTTCTGTGTATTAGCTTGTGTGATCTTCCCATTAGCTCAATAAGGTCCTCTTATTATTCTTATGTTACCGAGGGAAGAAGGCACAGAGAAGCTGAGTAATGTCTGTTCAACTCATATAACCACAGACTCATGGTGCTAAGAGCTGAACCTAGCGGCTGGGCTGGAGGGCACATCCTTTTGCAGCTCTCAAAACCTGAGATGATCAGACAGGCCATCCTGAAGCCGATGTGCCATGGTGCTCTTGCCAACAGCAGCACCCAGCTGCCGGCCACCGGCCACCGCCTTACTTTCCTCAAACCACCAACCCTTCCTTTTGAAACTCCCGCTGGGCCTTCAGTCTATTGCCTACTTAAATTTTCAACTCACAGTTTCTGTTTTCAGTTGGCTCTGTTGGTCCCCCACTGGGTAAAGATCCTTTACAGCCTAGACCACTCTGTCCTGCCCTTTAAAGGGAGCTCCTTATATTTGAAATCTGGTCAAGGAGTTCAGATTCTCCTACCCACAGGGGTTCCAAGTCTGTCTATTTCTAGCTCTGGGTTGCTTTTGAAGCCCAAGGAATTAAAACATTATAAAAGGAAGGTAGTGACACTCATGGCCTTCACTTCTAAGGACACAAGCTGTAGTTTCCAAGCCCTGTTGGGGGTGGTGGAACTGTGTGCACTCTCCCCTACTTTGGAGTTGAAGTCCTTCTTTTATCTGTTTTATATACCTAGGATTTGTTTGAAAGGGGTCTTGTGTGAAGAGATATTTGAAAAACCACTAAAAAGTCTTAAAATGCTTAGAATTACTGAGCACATGCTATTAAAAGAAAGCTTAGAAACCAGTTTCAGTCCTTGTCTTTCTTGGGGGGTGGGAAACGAAGGCAGGACAGACAGCTGTCTGTCTACCCCTCCTAAGTCCTTGTGATGCCCCCAGAGCCCACTTACTGCACAAGCCCTGCTGGTCAGGGAAAACTCTGAGCTGATCATCCCATCTCCCCTGCTATCAGTGTCCATGTGACCTTCCACTGTCACCAAGAACATCCCCCAATGAAAGACTGCTCCCTTGGGTGACCCTGATGGTGCTGCATTTAGAATTCCAACAAGGCAATATACAGATTCTGGAGACTTCCAAAGCAGGCAAATAACCACAGAAATACTGTGAGCTCACAACTGTTGATGAGAACCTGATGAGGGAATGGGAAGCAAGGAAAGATGGACTCTTTGACAAGACTTACTTGTTTTTCGATGAATGCATTGATTCGCTGCAACATCCCCTCACATGTAAATTCGTAGGGCATGTATGGCTCAATCTGCGGAAACAGAACAAGGCTCCATGAATGAGAACACACCACACGCACCACTTACCAGCTCTCCTAGAACCCGCCCAATGCATGAGTGTCAATGCCTGCAGGCAGCCTTGGGAGAGGCTGGAAGTCACCAGTTTCCCAACTTACCCTGTCTGCCCTAGGTGCAGTCCCTGAGCAGACTGTCTACCACCCACAAGTCTTAGATAACACATGAATGAAGCAGTGGCAAGAAAATTTTTTTAAGCTACAGTGAAGACTATAAAAAGGGAAAGGCACTAAGGTTAGTGTTTAGCACACAGTAAGCACTCGACACTCGACGGAAGGTGGAGATTACCACTTGCTAGCAGGTAAGCCCCCTGGGGTAAAGTTATGGCTGTGTCATCTGCATCCCTGTGTGCACACAGTGTGGGACAGGTAGGCTCTTAGCATGAATCTGTTGAATGAAGACAAGGTTACACTGCTTTGAGGAAACCACACAATGAGCTATTTATAGACCCACAACGGTGACTGGAAAACTGGGTTACACTCTTAGATGAGGTCAGCACATATGCAAGGAATTCAAGGTACAAAACTAAGTGATATAAGGCCCTAAAGAGGGACTCTGGGAGGTCCGAGGGCAAAGCAGACTATGTTTATGAGTCCAGAGAGCCAAGGCTTGGGAGTGAGGAGAGATGGCAGCTGTTACAGGTGGAGTAAGTGAGATTTGATGTGTAAAGGCAGAGGAAGCTGCAGCTCAGGACTGTGGACATTGGTGAGAGGATGCAGGAAAGACTCACTGATGTCACCAAAAGCCTTGAGATTTCTAAACTGAGCTGCCTGAACTTCGAGGGGGGCAGAAAACCCTGGGAGGTGCTCACTGTTGTGGGGGAGGCATTCCAATCTACACTGACCCTGGAGGAAAGGGGAAGATAGGTGTGTCTGGATCTCCACTGCACAATGTTTGCTAGGACGCTGAGGTCTGCATCTTCAGCAGCACACCAATCTGAGATGGGAAATTCACTTTGGAGAAAATCACCAGCCTTCACAGAGCCCTGGGGGTCTCTGGGTGGGAAGGAGTACCTTCACCTCTTCCTCTTGAGTCTACACTTACCTACCTCAGATCTCTGGGGTAGAGAACAGGACAAAGTATCTAAGATCTGAGGCTTGCTAAACGTGGGACAATGGACAGAGGACATTCCTTAGTGGGCAGCCACGTAGTTGGTCTCGGGACATCCTCTCCCCTTTTCTCTAAGTTTATGTTATATTTAAAATCTTAAGCCATGATTTATAAAAATTTATAACATATCTTTATTTAATACACAATTAAATGCCAGTAGTGTGTTTATAGACAACTGGATGCCAGTTTCATCACACAGGTTGGATCTCAGCCATACCTGTCCACATCTGTCTGGATTGTCAGGAGAGGCTGAGCCTCTGTAAGATCATGGACACTCTTCCACAAGAACAGAGAGGTCACCTTCCTCATCTCTAAAGAGCTCAACCTACTTTGAAGAACATATTCTCAGCTTGTTTGTCCCCATTTCAAGCTTCTGCACCTCAGCAGGGCCATTTCTGACCTAGATATAGCTCTTCATATGAAATGTGAAATTTTATTTTCTTTTAAAGGATATTTATTTACTCAACTCATGGATGATTCAAGAAGCTTTATGTAATAGGCCTAGAGAAATGTCTCCTTTCAAAGGATACATAGGAACCAAAAAAAACCACTTAAAGCAGAGGACATGGCATATCTGGATTCATTTACAAGTAGACAAGTAGAATTCAGAATTAAACATACATTGGTGGTGTTCTGTCACAAGACCAAGAGATCTACTTCTGTGGCAGGAAGCACCCAATGGCCATTCTGACAATATATTCCAAAGGGCATCCATTAGAACACATAAATTAATGAATTCAAAAGATTCAATGCAGTAAATACAGAAAGTGGCTCTTCCCGTTCTCCCAGTCACGCCCAATTTAACCAAAGGGATGCTGACTCATTCATTGCTCTGGGGCCAATTCACTGTTTTAAAGGATATGAAGCCAGACAGTTTTCCTACAAAGGAAAAGCAAAAAAAAAAAAGGAAACTGCATTCCTATGCCACTGCACTGCCTTGCCATTCCAGTGTGGATGGGTGCAGCCTCCTCTGCATGGGAAAGCTCTCCAGACCCTGGGCTTAGGGGACAGAGAGCAACAGCACACCCCAGAAGTGGAAGCTGTTTCATGGACTGAAGGGAAGGGACAGCCTTCTGCCTAATACATCTTCAGGAACAAAAGAAGGCCACTTTGGGGTATGGAATGAAAGAGAATGCCGAAACCACACCCAGTCCCTGAGAAATCTAAGTAGGGCCCAAAAGAGAAACAAGAGCACATTTGTGGTCATCCTTCTTTGTGGAAAAAGGCCTGTTACTCATCCAACTAAGGCCGCAGGCAGGATGTTTGCAGGCTACTGGCCTGCTGGCTTGGAAAATTTCTATGAACTTCCCATCTTCTCCTCTGGACCTCCTTTCCTGTGAGATTTCCTGTGTCCACTGGAACCCACTCACCTTTGCAAATCTTACTGAGAACTGCTTTCAGAAATCAGCTAAAGCCTGAATGGTCTCACAAAACAGGTGGCTTGACATCATCTGATGAAGAGATGGTCTTAGAAGGTACCAGAAAACCAGGGTTTAAGTCTAGGTTCCTCTTTTACTAGCCATAAGATTTTAAGTTAGGGAGATCTTATATTTTCTCTGGAGGATTCCAAATATAAACTAGGTCATGTCAATGTCCTGTTCAAAATTTCCCACCATACTTAAAAATACAGTGTCCCCAAGAGTGCCTATTTAAAAGCCCCGTACATCTTCTAGTTCCTAGGAACTGTTTTACGGTTTCCATTGTTTCTGATGAGTAGTTGGCTGTCTTTAATATCATCATTCTTCTGAACATAATGTTTTTCTCCAGCTAGCTGCTTTCAAGATTTTTCCTTCTTTTGTTTCTTGCCCTTTGACTATGTGCTTTTCTTTTTGTATTTTTTCCTGTTGGGGTTCACTGTGCCCTTAGCATTTGTAAGTTGATTGGAAAATTCTTCGTTCATTAATTGGAAAATTTTTACCCACTGCTCTTTCAGAAATTTCTTCTGTGCCAGTCTCTTCCTTTTCTCAGATTCCAACTACACCTAACTTATGCTGCTTCATTTTGTCCCAAAGATATCATGTACCCTTTTCCATTTCATTCTTTCTCTGTGTTTCAGTTTGAATAATTTCTGTTGACGAGTCTCCAACTTCATTTTTTTCTCCTTCTGCTGTATACAGTCTGCTTAGAAGCCACTGAAGGAATGCATTTCTGACATTGTATTTTTCTTTTCTAGAATTTTCATTTGACTTAAAAAATAGCTTACACCTCTCTGATGAAATTTCCCATCTGTTTACATATATGGTGTCCACTTTTTTCCCCAAGTTGTTCACCACATTTATCATAGAACTTTTGTGTGTGTGTGGGTGCTGGGGATGGAAACTAAGGGTGATCTACCACTGAGCTACATCCTGCACGTTTTATTTTTTATGTGGAGCATTAAAGGTCTTGTTAAGTTTCCTAGGCTGACCTTGAACTTGTGATCCTCCTGCCTTAGCCACCTGAGTTGATGTGATTACAGGAGTACATAACCTTGCCTGGCTTATTATAAAATTTTAAAGTTGTTATCTCATAATTCCAATATCTCGACCATCTCAAGTTCTGGTTGTGTTGATTGTTTCCTCTCTTAATGAAAGGTCATGTTTTCTTTTTCTTTTTTGGGTGTCATGTAATTTAAAAATCTTGGAATTACATATGAGAAAATACTACCAAATTTCTGACCCATCTCTAACAATAACTTTTATGACAATACTTTTTATATTAATCTCTTTCCTTATTCCATACTTTCCTTTTATTCTATTTTGTGTGTTTTTTTTTTTTTAATTATTATCTTAACAAACTAGTGAAAAGACTTGAATTTGATTCCAGGTTTTACTAGTTACTAGTGTGATCTTGCAAAACATCTTTTTAAGCCTTAATTTTTTCATCTATATAATGGAAAATAGTCCCACTCAACATGTGAATGTAACTTTATTTGGAAATAGGGTCTTTGTAAATGTAGTCAAGATGAGGTCACACTGATTTAGGGCGGACCCGAATCTAGCACAAGAAGAGGGAAGCAGAGATACACACAGGGAGAAGCCACACTGTCATGAAGGCAGAGAATAAAGCTCAGAGGCTTTAAGCCAAGTAATGCTTGAGGTTGATAGAAGCTTAGAAGGGGCAAGAAAGATTACAATAGCCCCCTCATCAATGGGGAATACATTCTAATACTCCTTGTGGATGCTTAAAACTGAGGATAGTACGAAACCTTTTATATAAGCACTGTGATAGCACAGTAGCTGAGCTGATAACAGATAGCTACTAAGTGACTAAACCAGGGTGGATAGTGTATATAGCATGGATACACTGGACAAAAGTCTGATTCATGTCCTCAGTGGGATGGAGAAAGATGGCATGAGATCTCCTCATATTATTCAGAATGGTATGCAATTTAAAATATATGACTTTTTTCTGGAAATTTCCATTTAATATTTTTGTAACATGGATGACTATAGGTCACTGACATCATAGAAAGTAAAATTTCAGATATAAGGAACTACTATATAGTCCAGTAGAACTACTATATACTTCACAGGGTGCATGATCCTCTGCTGACATCTGATTTCAGACTTCAGGCCTTTAAAACTGAGAGACTACATTTCTGTTGTTCAAGCCATCAAATTGTGGTACTATGTCACACCAGCCCTAGATAACTAATACACAAGTAATTCTGGGACATAGGAAGGAAGATCCTTAAATCTCCTAAGGATGACTCCCTGATGGTAAAACTTTAGGTGTGGGGCAGATATTTTCAGGCAGCCCAGTAGGACTACACTTCACTAGGAACTTCTATCAACTGGGATAACTTGAGATTGGGGGACTTCTGCCTACAATTGTTGAAACTGGTTTTGGGACTACACATGTGACCATTGGGAAGCTGACAGCTACACCAAAGCCCAATACCCAGACCATCTTCAAGGGGACAGAATATGGATAGCACATCAGAGTGCCCTTGCTCCCCTGGAGATGCTCTCAATTAACTGAAATTGGCAGGTTAGTGGGCCACCAACTATTTCCCAAAGGGAAACGATGTTGATTCAAAGAGGTAAACTGGCCATTCATCCAGGATATATGCCCTTCTCGGATCTTCCCCTTCCACTGAACCCATGCCTTATCCATGCCATTCACAGTTTTGCTTTGAAAATTCCTACTCAAAAGACAACTTAGAATGCAACATTCATCAGAAGCGCCCCCCACTCCTGCTCCCATCCCTAGATCTTCTGCATGTTGATTTTGGCACTGACCATTATCTGCGCTGTTAAGCATGTGTTTGTTTGCTAACATCAACTCCTCCCTCTGATCTAGGTAAATCACAGTGCTGAATACTAGCAATATAGCAGGCAGACATATATGTGCTGCTTTCATGTTGCTTATAGTCTAGTAGAAATTCAGATGGTCTATTATAAGAAATAAGAAACACTTCATAGTGGCTAAACACTTCCTATGTGGTAGACATTGTATTCAAGCACTTTGTATATGTGATCTCATTTAGTCCACTCAGGTTACCAGTCAAGTATGTAATATTAGCTCTACATTACAGAGGAGGGAACTCTACTAGTCACTGGAAGCCAAACCCAAAGTGTGTAAGTCCAGCCCACCCTCACAGTACACCTGCATGATTCTCTTAAACATCACAACCAAGTGTGAAGAGTGCTCTGATAGGAGAAGCACAGGGGCAGTGTGTACCTGAGACAGTTAACTGCAGGATCAGGACAACTGAACTCATCCCAGGTGGGCGGTCAACTCCCACAGGTGGTGAGACAGCCTCACCTGTGGTTATGGAACAAAGCACCCCTCCCCCTCCCAGAGTGACTCAGACAGTTCTCACAGACAGTAAGTGCTTAATAAATGTCTACTGAATTGATGAGAAGAGTCCAGAAAAGTAAGTTACTTTACAAGAACCTACCTAATATTTTGGTAGAAAAAACAAATAAACAGATATTATGCAAAAACACTTCTTTCACGATTTCTTCCCCATCTCCCCCTCCCCTCTTTTGTGGGTAAGGTAAAAGAAGCAGGCCCATCTTTTCAGATCTCTAAGAGTGACATAAGTAGATCTTGGAAGCTAGCATAGTTCAAGCCCCTCCTTCTGTGCCTGGAACACAGGAGCCATGACAGTTCAGTAGAATCCATGGCCACATCTGGACACTGGCTCTGCTTTCCATGTCACACAACATCCATGAAATCCCCAGGCTAAGTCCTACAGACTGGCTACTCTTCTAACTCCAGCTACTGTGGGAAAATGCCATTGACTGAATCCAAGGGACTGTGATGCTTTCCACACATCAGGTCACATCACAAATGGGGGGAAATGGAATTAAAGAAACAACCTTCTGATTCAAAATCGCTTTCACTGCATCCTCGACTTCCTCCTGATTGTTGAGATTGACAGTCCAAACATGCGGCCGGCCGATGAAAACTTCAGCATACGGATGCTGGGATGTCAGCTGGAAAAGAGGAAACAGAACACCTCAGTTTCACACCGATTTAAAAAAAAAAATCTTCTGGGCTAGATGAAGTGTTGCGCATTTTACTGCACTGAGTTGTACTTGCGCAGGTAACAAGACACTCATCCTCTCCCTCATCAACTGAAACCTCCTGTGCAAACTTAGCAGTTCAGAAACAAATAGTGATGGCTGCACATCTTGAATCCCTCTTGGAAATAAGAGAATGTCACAATCTGGTGACAAGGTGGCTGTTTTAGGTGGGGTGTGTGGGTGTGCTAGGGATTGAACCTGGGACCTTGTACATGTTAGGCAGGTACTCTACCACCAAGCTACACTCCCAGCCCTTATAGGTGGCTTTAATTCCTAATGAACATTTTTGCTCAACCAAAATAAGCATAGCTCATCCATACTCACCCCTGAAAATAACCTCTGTCAAACCAGTATCTATTTTCTTGGCTAGGACAGACAGGTAAGCATAAAAAATTGCAATAAAAATCAAGGCTGCAACAGTCCCAAGAAGATGAGTAATGGTGCATACAAAAGGTGATAGAAACAGAAGTGATCCCATCAAAATAAAACAGAATCTTCAGGGTTTGAGGAATAATCAAGAGCGTAACATTGAGGCCTGAAACTTTTAGAAGCAATCTGTCATTGGAAAAGCAAGAAATGGCACTTTTATCCTTAAGGAGGTTTTATTTTAAAGAACAGGGTGGTCAAAGAAAGCAAAGATGTATATTGGCAATTCTGGGTTCTTTAAAAATCCATTCTTCAGGACAGCTAAATTTATCCCTTGATCATGATGCCACCTCTATTCTTATACCCCTTTAAGGTAGTGGTGTAAGGAGTGTTCTAAACATTTATGAGAATATTCTTAGTTACCATAAGAGCTGGTGCTACTCTTAGCCTGTGGGTGGGGACTAGGGATACACGACATCTAGTGAGGTCTAGGACAGACCTGCACAAGGAGGAATTGTTCAACTTTGATCATGATCATGATCATGATCATCATCATCATCATCATCATTTTTGATGATGGGAATTGAACCAGGGCCTTGTTAATGCTCTTTACCACTGATCTCCTCCTCCAGCTCAAAGAACTTCCAAATGCCCTGCTGGGCTTTCAGGTGGATTTATAGCATCTAACACTTTGATACAGTTTTAATATACAATAAATTTCTCAGGAGCATAATTACCATGTAAATCAAGAAATGTTTGTACTGTTTTATTTGGAACTTCACCCATGAGCTGTCACTATTTTGGAAAAATAATGGCAGTGAAGTCAATGCCACTCAGGATATCAGAACTGCCAGTAAAATGACCCAAAATTGGTCTATATTTGTAGCTATCACATTAATGGCAATTATGTATATATGTGTGTGATATGTGTTCACACTCTTATATTTAGTTCCTCGTTCATAATGTCAATTACAAGCAAAAAAGGCTGACAACTCTTAGTTGAATGTTTTATTCCTTTTAAATACAAGTGTTCATGGTAAGGGGGAATGAAAGATCATATCTGCTACGATAGGTTTTGGCTACATAATATTGAAATATGTATTACTTTTTATGAATTATTTTCTTTTTATTTATTCTTCATATTAGAGTTAGGAAACTATATATTTTTTTAATTATGTAGGCAGGCAGGTTACATTATTTAAGATTTTCATTTCAGGAGAAAAAAAAGATGTTATAACATGTTTATCGTAAAAGGAGGTGTTAGCTCTGGTAGTGTTAAGACCTTTGCTATGGAGGCAAAAGGTCTGGCTCTCTTTTTTCCTTTTCTCTTTAGACTCTGATATAGAGATATACTTGGAGGAGTGGATGTTCCCTCTTGCTCTCAGTCACTGGTCTTGGTAGCCAGCTGCAGCAGTGGTGTGCAAAAGCATGACTAAGGACAGGAAAAATGGGCCACAAGTCATTGGGCTCCAGCTGCAGTTTTCACTGCCAATCACTCAGGGAAATCATGTGAGAAACGTCCAGGAAGATTTTCCCTGCTCTGCTCCTGCTTCTCTGCCCTGGGTCAGGTCCTGCACTAGCCTTTTCAACTCTCCACCCTCCTGATGTGTGTCTCCCTCTTTTGCATGCTGGGCTCTGTGGTCACTGGAAGTTCCATGGAACTGGGAACACCTGGTTTTTTCCTCTGCACATATTTGGATTCAATCCCTATCAGTGAAATCCCATGTGGGGCCAGGCATTGCGTAATCACCTGCACATACATCACTTATCGGGTTTCTTATGTAGTCATAAGGATTCTGAGGTATAGAGGATTTATAACCCCAAGACCCAACAACCAGAATGTTCAAATCCAGATCCTCCAACAACTTATTAGCTTTGAAAAGGAAAGAGCATGACAACTTAGAGGATGTCAATGACTGAAGACAAACAAAAGCCTTTTAAAACTTGCCAACATAAAAAAAAAATTCCTTGGACTGAATTTATGCCCCTATTAGACCTTTGTGAAGATGAGCAAAAAATGTCGAATTATTTTCATTTTGTGGCTTAGAGAACAAACTAATTAGCCCTTCTGCTGGAATCAGGGTAAATTAGAGTTGCCATCAATGTCACTATTTAGCAAGTTATATATCACCAGCAGTCTCTCACCCCTCCCTACTCTTTAAGGTCCCTGCATATTTACAAGGTTGCTCTAAGCACTAAGAAAATACAAAATGCTGAGCCATTATCATTTCATTCATCTACATTTATTGAGGGTTGCTTAATTTTATGAGGGAGGCATTTTGTGATTCATTAGCCCCTTTTGAATGTTATGTTCTTTCTTGCTAATTTATTGAGAACCATCTGATCTCAGCTACTTCATCATGTATCAATCAGGAAATTTACTAGAGTATAGTTTGTAAAAGTAATGAAAATCTTATTAAATATGAGACATTACTTCAGAGTAGCTATTAAATCTCCAAGGAGAACATGGGTTCTCTTTATTGGGTAGGTTAAGAAAACCCAAAACAAAACAAAAAAAAACCCTGAACTCAGATAATTTCTCATAGTTTACAAAATGTCAGAATAATGACTGGGAAACTACTAATATGTTTCCAAATACAAAGATAAAAATAAAAATCCAATTCATATTAAAGTATAAAGAACCAAGTATAACCTAAGGCATTGTGAAATGTTTTCCCCTCTGAGTATACACTGTATTTTAAAAACTTGGCCCAATGCAAAAATAAAAACAAAGCTAAACTCAGTTAGAACTCTAGACTTTCCCTTCAAGTGAAGGCAAAAAAGAGACCCATAGGCAATTGATATGGGCCAATTTATGTTGGATGAATTGTGGATTGACATAAAAGATTAACATAGGCAAAAAGAGAGCTTTATAATCATACATACTCAGGTATATATATATATTTATAATTATATATACTTGTAAAAATTTCCCCTTTCCTGAGGGGAAAATAAAAGATAATTTCTAAGAGGTTTTGACCCTTAGAAATCTGTAGACCTATTGACAGCTTTTTCCTAATTAAAAGCATCTTTAGGTAGGAGGATTTGGCAGCTTCTGTGAGCTGAAAGAGCAGGGGAGGCAGCCCCTCTCAAAGCTGCCTGGTGTTGCTGGAGGGAGCTACAGATGGAACCTGACCTTCTTGGGGTCCCCCCCAAGTTCATCAACATTCATCCCTCTCAGGCTTGAAGTCCTTTCTTCTCCTCTTTCTTTAAGGCCCAGCCCCATCTGTCAATCTTTGTCAGTTAACCCTGCACATTCTCCTTCCACCTGGCACAACTCCAAGTTAACTCCCCTCCTTAAGCCATCTCCCTATTTCTTATGCACTCCCACTGATTATGCAGCTGTCTTCTAGATCAGATCTAGAGCTCTGAAAACAGAAAATGTGTCCTGCTGAATTCCCTTAACGCAGCAAATAGTACCATGGACTCTGTAGGGATGCATTAAACATCTGTCAACTGCCCTTCTGCCTCTCAGCCCTCCAGTGGGAGCTCAGGACTGATGGAGTCATCTGTCTGAGGTCACTCGCTGAGCAACCGTTGAAAGCAGTCCACACTGTCTTTCTACTGGAATCTCATTTCGGGCCTGGTGGCATCATCCCAGGCAGCAGTTCCAATGTCTGTTCACTCTTTATGGCATAAAGAATGAAAAGCCTCCGCGACCTCAGCAGAAAGCAAATGACTAAATGATGGCAACTGACAGAAAACAATGAACATACTTTTCTTGATAACTTCGTACTGGTTGATCTGGGCCATGTAACGTGACATCCCTGACTTGGCCATGTGTCTGGAGTGTTCTCAGTGTTGTGAGGAAACACTCAGCATACAAACAACTGATCTGAATTATTTAAAAGCAGTGAGGGTCACGAGTGACAATGAAAGGCTGGCTTTTTACAGATTGGGAGACTAAGGGGACATGACAATTGACAATCAAATGCAACATGGGATTCTGAATCAGATCCAGAAACGATTGTAGCGGAAAAAATGGCAAAGTGCAAATATAGTCTTTAGTTCAGATAATATTAGGGTACTGCTGTTAATTTTATTTGATTTTGATAATTGTACTAGGGTTCTGTAAAATGTCACCAGTAGATGAAGCTGGATGAAAAGTATACCTCAATGCTATATTATTTTTGCAACTTCTCTGTAGACTATCTTAAAATCAGTAAAAACTGCAAAATTCTACTTGTAGGCATATAATCAAAAGAGTTATTAGCAGGAACTCAAACAGACAGGGGTATACCACTATTCATAGTTGCATTAATCACAATAGGGAAAAAAAAGTGGAAACAGCTCAAATGTCCATCAGCAAATGAAAGGATAAGTTCAACATGGTAAATACATGCAATGGAATATTAGCCTTAAAAAAATAAAAAGGATTCAGACACACGCTACAACATGATCAACCTTGAAAACATCACATCAAAGTGAATAAGGCAGACCCAAGAACAAATAGCACATGATTCCATCAAGCCCCTAGAGTAGGCAAACTCATAGAGACATAAAGTAGGAGAGAGGAGGAGGGGAGAATGGGGAGTTACCTTCAAAGGGGACAGAGTTTCTGCTTGGATGATGAATAAGGCTACAGATTGATAGTAGTGATTGTTGCACAACACTGTGAATTTACTTAATGCCAATGAATCACACTTATAAATGGCTAAAATGTTTTATATTATGTATGATTTATCACAAAGTTTTAAAATAGGGGAAATTACAAAAAAAAAAAAAAAAAAAAAAAAAAAGCAATTTGGACAGAAGAAGGAACTTCTGAGATTTTCTATAGCCAAAGGAAAACCTATGGATGATACACAATGGAGAACAGTCTTATCAATGAATAGTGATGGATGTGTTAATGAGCTTTATTGTGGTGATCGCTGATCGATTTGCAGTGTTTATTATTTCAAACATCAAGTTGTTTACCTTAAATATATAGTTCTTTTTTTTGTGAAAAACAAACAAAAACTACTAGGGATGACTGAAATCAATTTTCTACCTCAAACTCTAAAGTTTCAAAATCAGTCACATGCTGTAGCAGAGATTTCTAAGCTGAGAAATTAGTCTCCCTGTTGGGGAAAGTCTTTTAAGCCTTTCCAAAAAAATACACTCTTCAAGATTGTTCCTGATCTCTGTGTCTAGTGCCACCCACGGCACTGGCACCTGGCACACAGGTGAGCTAAATATTGGTGAATGAACTGACCTTTCAAAGTGAAACCACGTCCATGAAGAGTTCAAGTTATATGAGTAAAAGGTAAAAAGTAAGCAAACATCCAGTTAACCCTTGTCAGAGGTTATCTGGGCTACAGTTAACCTCTTTGAGATAATCTATGGTTCTTGTTGATTTTCCATCTCCTTTGGCCATTTCACCAATGATACAGGGGGTTGGAGAAAGAACTCTTAAAAATAATCAGGTCTATGAACTGACAGGATTCTTGATTCATTAATAAACATCACTAAAAATGTATTTTATGTACTATGTAACATTTGTTACACAGTTATGACAGATTCAGAGAAAGTGACCCAGAAGGGTTTCAAAGCAGCAGCACTGAAAAAATAAATGCTTTAAAAAGTCATGGTTATGTCATGGGAGGACTGTCCATCAGTGTAATCCCCCTGTTGAAGGCCATGAAGGACAAGGGTGTTGCTTTAACTTCACCGATGGGGAGCAGTCTGCAGAATCACCTACTAACTACATAGAAATAAAAAGAAAATCATTCTTAAAGTTTCTTGCACACACCTTTTTCTGGCCAGATATGGAAGCACCCAGCTTGATCATTCACACTTAGCTGCAAATGACTTGTTTATTGCCCCAAATCAAATCCAGCTTTCTTTGGTGGTGATTCATCATCCATTGTGAATTTTCAAGCTGATCTCTGAAGGCAACTGTAGCAAGGCTTCTGCAAATGGTTCTAGCAATGGCAGGACCACTTCATGGGGTGGTGCCTGCTGATGGTGGGCTAAAAACCCAGGCATATCACCTGAGTCCCCAGGGACATGTCTTGCCTCTTACGGTTGAGGTTCCTGGAGAATATCCATGGCCCACTTTTAACTCTCAATAGCTGGTCATGGAGAGTTGATTATCCACAAATATGTTACAAATTTGTTACTCAGTTGATCTCATCATAAGCTCCCAACAAGAAGAGCTTAGCTTCAGACAAGAAGAGCTCAGCTGCAATCAAAAGGCTAGAATGTCCTTGTTCATTAGACAGTTGGCATAGAGGTGATGTGACTGAATCATTTGTTTCTCTAAGCTCCAGGATCAGTTCCCTAACCATTTCCCTTCCCACATAACCATGTTGGACGATGTTAATAACACTATCACTTCTCTGCTTTCTTTATCCCTGGTTCAGCATCTTTGGATCCAGAAATATTTAAAAACATTTGAAAAAACTTCAAGTACCCTGAAAATGGGCAGACTTTTTCCTCTTAACATTATCCCTTAAACAACACTGCATAACTACTGTTTATGTAGCACTTACATTGTAATTATAAGTAATCCAGAGATGATTTGAAGTATGTAAGAGGATATTCTATGCAAATACTATGCCATTTTACATAAGGGACTTGAGGATCCAGAGATTTTGGTGTCTGTGTGTGTGCGCGCGCATTGGGGGGGGGGGGGGGCCAGGGGGGGTGGTCCTGGCACCAATTCTCCATAGATACCAAGAAGACTAACCTACATTAGCACTAAGTAAATAGTTATTCTTTTTTTCCTCCCATGTTGCTGGGGATTGATCCCAGGACCCTGAGCAAGTGCTCTATTACTGAACTACATCCTACCTCCCAATTATTCCTGTAATTGAAAATAGAATGATTCTGGTAGATGCTTACCTCTCTCAGTGTTGGCTTGCCGATGAAAAAGTCTGTGTTTTTGCTGCTTTTGGGTGGGTTGAACTTGGGATTCAGAAAAGCACATCCATTTGCAATAGCCTCCAGGGGAGCTGGGCCCTCATAAGGGAACCCAAGTCCAACAAACAACTGGAAGACAGAAAAACATGCATATATAAACACATCAGTCAGGACTGGCCTCCTTGGCTCACAGGGGGCTACACTGTGGTCCATTCCTGTGAATGCCTCAGACACTCTGGAAGGGTCCCAGATCCTAGGGGGTGGGGTGGGGCAAAAAGAAGGGGCTTGTTCCAAGATCTGAGAAACATCACCAGGGACTTTTAAAACCCTCGTGAAGTGGCTCAGCTTACGGTATTCTTCTCCGCTAAAAAAAAGTAAGGAAATAAATGTTGGGAGGGGGGTTGTAAGGTGGCTAGAGTATTAAAAGAAAAACAACAACAAAAAAAACCAAGGCCCTACAATCATCTTTCTGTAACTCACCAGGAGACATGACTGGAAAAACACTTGCTTAACTAAACAGAAGGTTTCTTCATTGAAGCAGCAAACAACAGGCCCTTTCAGGGACGCTGGGCAGAGGGACAGAAAGGTCACTTGGTGGTTTGATTACAGTTCAAATGGAACTGCTTTAAAACGATGGTAGGTCAGTAAACACAGGTTTTCATAATGGGGTTTTCACTGGGGGACACCAACATCTCGGTTTTACTTTCCTCTGGGTGGGGGGAGAAGGTACTCAGTTGCTAAATCTGCAAGGCAATGAATGCTTCCTGCTCCAGCAAGCAAGCCACATGTTTCCCCCAAGGCAGACAATAGATGGCAGCAGAAACACGCTCTCTCAAAGTCTTAGGAACAACCACAGCAGCAGGGAGCCACTGTGACAAAGGGGACGTGCTGCTACAGTTCAGTGGATCTGATTCCTGGGTCCAAAAATGAGATAATATCTCAGAGAAATGCCTCACTCTGCATAATGTTCATGCGAGAATACTGTACACTGCTGGAGGGCTGGAGGTAGGTGACGGGCGGGGTCCAAGCCTGAGCTTAGTGAGGCCTGTGTTCTTCCTACCCACATCACAGAGTCAATTCTGAAATCTCTCCAGTTCCCAAGAGGCATGTCAAGTGACAAAGCCCAGGTGGGCCCCAGGGCAGTGCTTCCTTTCATCTTCATGGTGAGAAACACCCACAGAAGGTCCTGAGAGTGGAGGAGTCTGCTGAACTGGATCTATCTGTATGTGTGGTTCTCCTGTCCCCAGGCTCTCTCCTCAGCTCCCCAACCCCATGCAGCTGTTTTAAATGAGCAATCATTGAGATGTTTCTGCTGGAAAGCACTGGGTCCAAGCTGCTGGATTCCCTGTGCATTCCTGGAAGACAAAGGATGCATGTGTCTGGCACTCAACACAAGGGCTGCACAGAGCGCAGTCCACATGTGACATTGGAGAATCATGCAGCTCCCTAAGGACTTTTGGAGCAAAACACCTAAAGTTTCAGGTTTTCTGAAGAAACTCCCTATCCTATTAACTTTCGTATAGACAGGGCACTTAACCTTTCTGTTTTTTGATGAAGAAATAACCTTTCATTTTCTGTAAACCTTGAGACCACACATCCAGGGACATCCACAAGGGAGGGAGGGAGGTGGGGTGAACAGAAGGTTCAGGAGGCCTGCAGAACTCCTACCGCTGGCTGTGTCATTTCCCCTTGGAAGGAAGAGTCCCTGGAGGTCATGGGGTGAGGGTGAGGGCCTGGAAGCTGCAGCATAGAGGGAAATCTCTATTCCACTCTCCTGCTCTGGATCTCATTCTTGGTGCACAGTGAACAGAAGTCAGATTCTCAGAGAGAACTGTTGAATACAGAGTGTGGCCCGGCACTGTGGCCCAGAGGTGGAAGAGGCCTGACAGCAGAAGAAATGCAAATAAATATTGGGATGTACTAGTGCTCCAGGACATTCCCCAGGCTCTCCCCTCAGCTCCCCAACCCCATGCAGCTGTTTTAAATGAGCAATCATTGAGACGTTTCTGCTGGAAAGAGGCCTTATTGAGCATGAAGAATCCAGGGTTTCCATCCTTAAGGCTTTTGACTTCTGTGATCTCCTCTTCCTATCACACTTTCGGAAGAAGGATGTGCCAAAACTCTCCAGGAAAAAACAGATGACCTCCATCAGGCCATGATTGGGCAGAGCACAGCACAGAACATCTGGGCCTTTTTGATTAAAAGAGGTACTAAAAGATGCAGACTAGGTTTTCATGGATTTAGTCAGAGACCCAGCACCCACAGTGGTTCCTGACCTTTGGAAACTGGGGCCTGCCATGAAGTGCCAATACCCTTATCAACTCTAAACTGTCAATAACAACTTTGGAGGAAATGGAAGAAGCACAATGCTTGTCTATTTCAATGGAAAATCTTGGAGAAAAATTTAATTAGCTCCTTCAGATCAACCAATCTGAACCTATTAATTAAAAGGATTTGAGGCTGTTGCTTAATGGACTTGAATATGACCTAGGTTTAATTATATCTGAATAACAATTTGCACCAACTCTTCTGCCCTGCTGGCACCAGAATATCTCAGTACGAAGAAAATAAACACTTTGGGCTACCTCTCCCAAGCCTATTTAGAAGGAAGCTTGAGCAAATACCACATAATTTCTTGGCAATGGGTTTTCCTGTCACACTAATTAAGACTGAAGAAAATGCATGATTTGGAAACACCAAATAATAGTTTTCTGTCACTTCTGTCAATAAGCAAGTATTTCCTTGCTTCCTGTCTACGCATTACTTGTGACATTATGATGGAGCAGATATATTAAGGTCAAACAGCACATCTGAGAGTTGAATGACAACAGGATAGGCACAGAAAATTCACCACTTCTAGCTGGAAACTTCTGCATGCTTATGGCCCTTGCCACAAACCAGTACCTTAACTGTAACAAATTGTTTTGGCCCTAATCTCCACTCCCCGGTCCTTGCACCTACTTGCAGACTTCCTTAGCATGGATGAAAGAGACAGAAGTAGGATAGCATTCAAGCACTGGGGATAACCTTCTCAGGAGAAAACTGTCCATATTTTATTTAAACTGCATCTGGCCCTCAGAAGCCCAGAATCTAACAAGGATATTTCAGGTGACAGAACATCTCCATGGCTGCAACTCCAACCCCCTCAGTGAGTGTTCCTAAACAGAGGGATGACATGCTCTAAAATTAAATTGTGAACTAATGCTAAGAGAAAGAGGGCAGATGAAGCACCATACGCTTTCTTCACAGCATAGGGTTGAAACATTCCAACACAGAGACCAGCAAAATTTTTCCTCTCAGAATTTTCCTCTGTGTGAAAGGAGGAATGGAATTATTTCAAACCCGTAAGTGGGGGCACTTAACAAAGATTCCTTCAAACACGGACAAAGGCAGTTCTTATGATAACTGCATGGTTTTGGTCAGTTTTAGTCACTTTCTTTTTTTGGGTGGTGGTGCTGAGGATGGAAGTCAGAGTGTCAGCCTCCTAGGCAAGGGCTCTACCACTGTGCTATACTCCCAGCCCAGTTCTAGTCACTTTTGATGGGGAACATCAAGAATAATCCAAAATCGGGTATACTCAACATTCGCTTTTCTGATGATCATTAATTAGCCGCGCTGAGGTGGCTCAGGAGGGAGTTGAGCAATGAAGTAACCTTGGTTTACCCAATAAATTGATCATGACACAAAGTAGCAATTAACAGTACAAGCTTGGGAGTCAAGGAGACCAGGGTTCAAGTCCTGACACCGTCATTTCCTACTTCCATAACTGTGACAAGTTGCCTGCCTGTGGATTCTCTGAGGCTCATGTATAATCTATTTTCTCCAGGGTTGGGACCTTCTCAAGTGCAAAATGGGGACAGCAACATTGTTTTATCTCATGGGGTTGCTGTGAGGATTATGTGAGATATTTCATAGAAATATTCAATATTCCAAAACTTGGCACTCTATAAACATTTACTAAGTAGTGGCTCAAGTTCATATCCCGCTACAGTGTCACACAACTGCACATCATGGGCTAGCATCAGTAGTTGGGGTTTAGTTGTGTGGGAGTTTTGCTTCTGGCATCATGTCGGCACCCAAAAAGTTTTGGATTGCAACATTTTGGATGAGGGATATTTAGCCTGTATCCAGTACCTTCTATAAGCCAGGTGTTCTTCTAGGCACTGGGAATATACCCACAAAGAGAACAAGCAAAACCTCTGGTGCAAAGTTCATGGTGCTGCATGATGGCCTGGTTCCAGTGGTAGTGGAACCTCAAGTCCTGATTCTGAGAGAGGTTTCAAAACCCATCCAAGCTGTGTAAGAAAAGCCATAGCTGAATGAATGTCTGTTTGGCAGAGGGTGGGGAGTCAGGCATGAAGACAGGATAGGATGTGGCAGCCCGTTTGCCAAATCTGTCCAGGCCTCTATGTGAGCTGGCATGGTGGGGAACCAGGATCACCATGGTCTACCCAAGGCTTGGAGGGGGAAAGGAATAAAGTCTGGGTACAGAAGGGTACAGCTCTAGCATGAGCACTAGTAGCAGCTTCGCCTGGCAGGCCACAGTCAGAGTTGTTCTGACTGCAGAAAGGAAGGTACCTTGTCTGGCTCCTACGTCAGAACGGCAGACATCCTTGCATCCCAGTGTTGAATGTGAATGCCCTATTCGATATCACAAATGTAATAGGAAGCTTCCCAAAGCAAGAAGAGGAAGGTGGACCTGAAGAGGTTACGATCAGGAAGGTGAAGAAAGAAAATATATTACAAGAGATGGAGATTTAAGTCAAAATTCAAAACATGCCACTCTAGCGAATCCTGATTTGCTGACCTCAACTGATCTCTTGGAGTTTGCTGGACAGAATGACTTGTCTGTGGTCCTTTGATAAACAATTCATTCATCCAAATTTTTATCATTTTCTCTAGATTCTCAGCTCTTTCAGTGTTTCATTAATTCCTCCTGTCTTTCCAGATTCCCTGAAGCAAGAGTCTGCTGGAGATGCCTGGGCCCCTAATGGCATGCCAGGACAAATTCTGCTGAGCAGAGGGTTTCCTGGGCTTGGTGCAGAGATTCAAAGAGGGCTCATAAAGGAAAAATAATGAGTCTGGAGCTGATTAAACATCAATCATTCCTTCAAACCTCTCGAGGGGCTCAGGCTTGTTCCCTCTCCAGTAATGAGGCTGAAGAGCCTGTGAATCTTCTTTATTCCGCAGTCCTCAGCAGCTCCAGGTCTCCACTTCCAATGTGGATTGGAATAAATCACTTTTAAATTGCTCAGAGACACAGAGGAAGGAGTTGGAAGCAGAAAGGGTTATAAATGCAAAGGCTGACCAGGCTTCCGTGTCACTACTGCAAAGGCCAAGATCCATTCATTTTAGTGCGTGAGGGTGTGTCCTGGGTGTGAGGAGAATCTCAGTGATACACTGCCATAGCCTCATCCTATTTGCTAACTGTTTGAGCCATAGTTCCACTTGGAGTATTTTAATATATTCTTGTCAGATAAGCAGGCACTATGTAATGGGCTCAGGGACATGCTCAGAAGGTACCCTTTTTTCCAAGGATGAATACATGTCCCTCATGCTAAAATTCAAGCTGCCCTCCTTGGGGGTAGGCCACTCTGACATCGTGGCTGGGGTTTTATGGGCCTCTTCTTGTTCTCTCCTGGACATTAGGGACCTCAGTTTTGGCCTATTTCCTATTCTATGACAGGGTAAGTGGATGGTAAGTAAGTAAGGGTTCTTTTAAAATTTGCAAGGCTGAGCAAGACATTCACGAGCCTGGGTTAATAGAAGTGTGCGAGACAGTAATGACATGCTGCTGAAAACCAGCTCTGCCAAATGTTATTTTAAAGGAGCTTGAACTTTTTCCACAACCTGATGTGGAGAAAAGTAAAATGAGGCAAACAGCAAAAAATAGCATTGCTGTTAAAGGGCCCGGACATCCTGATGATTCTAAAATATCAACCTAAGACAGGCGGTGACGGGAAGCAAATGGTAAAACTGGGGACACACGTCATTCCTGGAGGGCTTCAAATAATCATCTGATTACAGGTGACCTTACAAGGAAATAAAATCTTCATTAAAACAAAACAGATCTTTGGCCAAGGAGTTAAAGAACTGACAGAATATTTTGTTCATGCTATTGCACAAATAACTTGAAGGTTGAAAGGATCAAATATATTTGCAGATGGAGAAACCGAAGCAGAGGAGATAGATACTCTTTGATAGGTCGGTTTCCATTGAGTTTGGGTGTTTATGAGGCTGGTTCATCAACAGCCTAGCAGAGATTTAATTTGCAATTAAAACAATCACGAATTAGAGTGACCTCCACAACTTGACCTCAATTTACCATAGGCATGTCCAGCTCTCCAGAGTTAACAACCCTACTAGCACTGTCTACCTCTTGAGGCTGTTGTGAGATTCCAAGAGGATAGCACATATGAATGTACCTCCTAAATAAGATCAGCGATGGCTAACATGCTACAAAAGTTCATTTGTTCAACCTCTCTGCCCTATCTTGAATTAAAAACAAAGTGAGCCAAGGACCAGAGTTAAGAAATCCACCCGTGATAATAAACTCATGCTTTAGAAAACACTAGTGGAGGGATCTGCTGGTTTTGTTCACTGCTGCATTCCTTGCACAATGCCTGGTATATAGTAGTTGTTCAATAAGTATATACAAAATTCATAAAAAAAACTTATTAGTAAATACAAGAAAGCATATCAAATACATTAAAGGGCTTTCAAGGCCAACTCTGTTATTCATAAGTCACCTAACTTCATGTGTTACTTTAATGCAGGAATATAGAAAGGACATAGCCCACAAAGCCCCAGGCCATTATGCTCTAGTGTAGTACAATAACACTCAGTGGCTCCCCAACTATCTATGTGCAGTGTCTGCACTGTGCCTCTTTCTGTGACCATTGGCCCTTATTTCCTGTTGTATTTAATCTTCCACTATTTTCCAATACTTAATCTAGATAGGTTGCTTTCTAGTTCTCTCCTGAATATGCCATTGGCACCTTGGCTACCTGATTCTGACTCTTTATATGGTTCAATAGTAGGTGTATCCATACCCCAGCAATCTCTTATATCTGTCATAATGATTTCTCCGCTCCCTGAGCCAGCAGGGATTTTTCTCCCATATGAACCTCTTTTTTTTTTTTTTCCTGGTGTCCAGGACATACTTGCTAAATGAGGAGGTATGAGGAAAAGCTGGTTAGGGACCCAATTTGATTCCTTGAACAGAGGTAACAGAGTGGAGAGTTCATTAACCCTGGCTTACTATGAAGAGGCTCCTATTCTAGCAGAAGGTCTGTCCTTCAAGATAGAGCCTTACCTTTCCCATGTTTGGCCCTACTCCCAGCCCCTGGCTTGTTGCCTAGCACAGAGAAGATGCTCTGTAAATTTTTTTTTATTATTATAAAGTTTCCTGACCTCCCCCACTTATTTTTAGTTAATTCAGGAATTGTGCAAATACAATTTTTGAAAAAAATTTTTAATTGCACATTTTTTTTTTTTTTGCCAAAATCAATTAACAAACAGTAGCAACCTCCTTTCCCTCTTTCCCTATTCACTAATTTTTTTTTAGTGACAGCTGCTAGGAAACTACTGCCCAATCAAGGCCTAAAGAGCTATTGCATTGTTAGAAAGAAAACAAGAAAGATTATGATCCCATTTTTAATGCCAAGGGAAACAAACCTGTAAAGAGCAACCCTGGTCAATGTTTACAAATCTACTGAAAACTCACCTTGGTTTCTCGGAGAAGAAACTGCAGGTCCCGTCCACTGAGTATGCCGTGGTTTTTCACGTAACTGGGAATATTCTTTGTGCTGGAGCCATAAACTGTTGCATGCACTTCCATATACGTGTGGATGATGTCCAAGTAGATCTTTCTATTCTAAAACGAGGGCACAAGCAGAAAGCATTTCTTGTTTTATTTGCTTAACAACCTGTCTGGAAGCACTGAGCTTCTAAGAGCTAGAGGCCTCAGGGGTGGGCATTCTTATTGTGGAGATGGCAGTAGTTTGGCAATCCAAATACTGGACTTTCTTTTTTGAGGTTAAAAACAGTCATATTGCTACTGTATAACTGTGCAAGAAATACACTATATTACAACACATTACTGAGTACCAATGACAACTCATTGCCAACTTTTTTGAAGTATCGTCCTCACTTTGTAAATTACCAGGGATCCTCAAGTTGCTTTTGGCTCATCCTCTTTATCAGGGAAAGAATTTGGAGATGGAAGACCCAGAGAAGGCAGAAGATTGGACTGGAATGTTTATCCGGAGATGCTAAGCTGTCCCCAAGGAATACAAACATCCCCAGCTCTTGCCAATATTTCTAGTGATGATTAACTCATGTTGTCGGAACTGGATCCCACTTAACTCTCGTCATGGGGAGAGAAGAGTTTCCCACAATATGTATCGATTGACTCAGTAGCTGGAGAGACAAGAATATCCAGGTAGGCAAAAGTAAAAAAAGGGATAAATGGAAACTCTGGTGAGACCTGAAACATTCAAGAGTAGTTTTACTTTTTATTCTAGAAGCAAAACCAAGCCCCTTTTTTTGTATTTGTAGGAACTGGATTTGAGGCATATTTTCTGAATCAAAACCACCTATAAAGTGGAAACCAGATCACTTTTTCTTCCTCTTCGTGTTTCCATGTGACTAAGTTGTGCAAGCTGCATTTTGTACAGCTTGGTTGTTTGGTGTTTTATTTATTTATTTGAAAGCTGAAAAATTCAAGTTCTGTAATGTTTTCCAGTTGTATGAAGGTGGGACAAGGCTTTCCCATTCTAAGCCTGTTTCAGACACTTGAGGCATCTATTAATAGAAAGTTCTGTGACTCAAACCCATAAGGGACACACAGGGTGTGACAACAGTAGTCATGGAGCACAAGGAAGAGGAGGCAAGCTCTGAATGCAGCCAGTCACAATCTGCCCTCTGCTACTCACTGCCCTGGTGACTATAACACAGGACTCTCAATCTAGGGGAAAACTTTCAAATCATATATCAGAAGTGTTCATGAAGGATACAACAGCAAGTCCACATTCTCTATTTTACAGATCAGGATGACTGTGGCATCAAGCAAGGCACTCCCTGCAGACTAACATATAAATAACATGAACGCTTGAGAGCTGCAAGTCTAATTCCAGGTGACGTTTGGTGAGGCTGCTGGGCATAGCGATGAGGAACCATTTATAAATCACAGCTTCCCACTTGGGAGTTTGAGCCATGCTTAGGGCCATCTACCTGGGAAAGATTGATTGGAGGGGTTCTGGGATATGGTTCTTATGGTAGACATGTTTGGTAACTCTTGCCTCACACAGCCTCTTCTCAGGGACTCTGCCTCCATCACAGCCCGTCCTGGCTTCTGTGACCCTGCCTCCTCCCCTGCTAATGGAAGTGGGGGGCCCAGGGATGGTGTGGTAGGCTGAAGCAGATGAAGGAAGTCAGAATCCTGACTCAGAGGGATTCCTGCCAGATGGTGATAGACATTATAGCAAAAAGGTCATTCAGTGTTGGAATGTGTGAGGTCATAGACCAGGGAACAGGCCCCGAGGAAGCCAGAGGCCAGTTGTGGGGTGGGAAAAGAATCAAGTAAGTACTAAAGGGAAGGAGGGGGTAGGCACGGGCAGGTGGTAATGAGAGGGCCTGCACTGAGACATCCCAGTGAGAGAAAGGAGGAAAAGGAGGAAGAGAGGGAAATAGAGAGGAAGAAGGGGCAAAGGGGAAGGGGGAGATGAAGGAGGAGGAGGAGGAGGAGAAGATAAAAGCAAGAGATGGAGAGAAAACTAGGGCCCACCCATGCGCAGCCATTCCTTATTCTAAATGTGCCAGGTCTTTCTGGACCCTTTCAACAGCAGCAGCTACCCAAACTCTTCCTGGACCCCACCCTACATTTTTTAGCTACTGAGGGCTGATTCCAATCACACAAGGAGGCCTCTCAGGGCATCCTGCTGGCCTTGAGGAAGAGATTGGGGGTGGGGATAGGCATCTGTCCCTTATAAAAAGGAGACACCGCCCCATGAAAAGTCAGCTGCTAAATAGTGAGGGTGGACCACAGGCCCCAGGTAAGATCTGCAGCAAGCTACAGGCAGAATAGGGAATGGTCCATCTGCTTCCCGCCCTGCAGAAAACCATTCACAGCAGACTTAAGAGTAGAGTTCCCAGAGTAAATGTCTGTGAAAGAAATGATACACTAGGTTACATATGTACTGTCAGCAAATCCCAGGAAAGGTCGGGGCACTTTGAAGCATAACAAGGTGGCAAGTTTGGGCAAACAGAAAGAAGTCTACACAAAGGCTAATAAAGTCTATGAACTCTTTAACACTAAGGCATGGTACAGTCAGAAAGCAGGAATTATCTTCAGAGAGGATTTATAGAATCTCACAAATGAGAAAATCCCCATGGATGATTGGAGGGAAAAATGTCTCAAGCATAACTCTAACCTTTGAAGCTGACATGGTAATTCGTTAACTCAGCCTTGGTTCTCTTGCTGACACTTGTCAGAGTTCGGTAGAAATCTGGCGAGTCTGACCCACACTATTTATTCCAGGTAAAGGTGCCACTGAAGTTTCTTAAAACAAACTATTATAATGCCTGAAGTGAAGGCTCATGAGATGCTCAAGGAACCCAACAAGGCATTTCCAGCTCAGGTCTCTTTCCTGAATTTCAAGTCCAAATATTTCATGGCATTCTGAAATTTTCCATCTGTTGTGCTGTAGTTGCTTCCAACTCAACAGGTCTAAAAGAGGACCCATCACCTAATCTGAACAGTATCTTTGTATCTGCCCCTGAGCTCAGTGACCAGCATTAATCTCCCTACCAATACCTGGACCATAATCATTATTCCTCACTCCAATTCCTGCCAATATGTGCATCAAATCAATCACAAAGTCCTGCTGATGCTGCCTGTAGAATGTCAAGTTGGTCTCTTTCCAGGCCCTGATTGTTCATCTGGATTGTGCCACAATTAATATAAGCAGCACCTTACCACATACTTCCCTGTAGCTCAAAAGGGGATGTAACTTGTCTGTGGTTTCTACAAGAGAGCAACAGTATAGGGACCCGTTGTGAAACAATCTATATGGCTGGATGCAACTTTTGTATATTTCTTAACCATACAAAGCAATATTATGCATGTGGGTAATGTTCACACATATGGACATTTGTAGCTGAAGTACAAAAACATGTAGGAGGATGATTTGAACTAAATTCCAGATACTGATTACAGAGGAGAGATGATCTACAGAAGTAGATGGAGCTTCAGTGATATTTGTAATATATCATTTCCATGTTTAAAAATACTGTAAGATACTAACACCAACAAATCTGGGTGGTACTTGGATGTCTGCTATGATTCAGATGTGTTTCCCAAGGTGATGTGTTAGAAATTCATATATTAATGGTATTTGGAGGTGGGCCTTTGGGAGGTAATTAGGATTAGATGAGGTCATGAGGGTGAAGCCCCCAGATGGCATTAGTGGTCTTATGAGAAGAAGCGAGGCCTGAGCTGGCACACTTGCTCTGTCTCCCCAGAGGATGTCCTCCTCTATATTATGATGAAGCATGAAGCCCTCATCAAGCCCCCAGCAGATGCCAGCATCGTGCTCTTGGGCTTCTCAGCCTCCAGAATCATGAGCCAAAAAAATGTCTGTTCTTTATAAATTACCCAAACTAAAATGTTTTGTTATGGTAACAGAAAATGGACTAAGACAATGCCTTGGTTTTTAAAGACTTCTGTATATTTCACAATGGAATTTCATTCATCCATAAAGAAAAATGAAATTATGGCATTTGCAGGAAAAATGGATGGAACAAGTGGCCATCATGTTAAGTAAAATAAGTCAAACTCAAAAGGTCAAGGGTCATATGTGGAAGCTGGACAGGAAAAGGAAAAGAAAGGTGGGGGTGGATCTCATGGGAATGAAAATCAAAGGGAGATCAGTAAAGGAAAGGAACCAGGGAGTGGAAGGGAGGGAGGGAGGGGGGGGGGGGGAGGGGGGAAGTGCTGGGGCATGATACTGGCCAAATTATATTGTTACCTTGTGTGCATGTACAAATACACAACAACAAATCCCATCAATATGTACAATTACAGTACACCAGTAAAAAATGTGGAAAAGACATCTGTATATTTGATATATTTCACATGTAAAATGTAAAAATTTTAAAACAGATGTGATCATGAATAAACAAAACCCAGTATATCCAAGACTCTAAGGCCTCACCACTGTCACCGCACTGTAAGGCTTAGTTCCTGGCATCAAGGGGTTCAAGGGATCCCCTTCTATCTTCAGTGTGTGATGTGTACTCTACCCTTTGTGTTTAAGGGCTGAGGTTTCTAAAATTAAGCGTGTCCCTGCTTGCCTTTCCTCAACTCATGGGAAGGCCCAAAGAGGGGGGTGGTGTACAGGGATGGGGGCATCTTCTAGCATATACCCCCTTCCTTTCCCTTGTTTTGGTCATCCAGGCTTAGACGGAAGACCCAAGTCCCATTGATCAAAGAAGTGGGTTGAAATCACTCTAGGAAGCTTTCCTTCTCTGACTTAAGGGGCCAAAGTAAAAAAAACAAAAACAAAAAAACTTAGTCCCAATGCTCTGCCACCTACTAATTTCTGAGATCTAGTCAGAAAGGGGTTGCACTGAGGATCACACCACAGCAAGCCACCACCCATCTTGGAGCCAGGGGAAATGCTGCTACCAGGTCCCAGCTGAGCGACTTGCAGCCCCCTAATGTTTTCAGTCCCTAGTTCAATTTAAATTCCCATTAAAAACAACGGATCTAACTGATTAAAATTTAAATCTACCTAACCTCATCTGGGGGCAGGAGATGCAAAGGGAAAGGAGAGCCCTGATGGAGTCAATGAACACCGCAGTCGCGTGTCTTTA